ATTCCTTCACACCCTCGACAGGTAAATTAACTACACTTAATTGCACCAACAAGATTGCTCTAGCCATTCAACTTTAGCACTTTAATCTAAAGTAACTTCTACTTCTTCACCATTTCATTCAATGTTCATCTTACCAGTTTTCTTTGAAGCTCATACACTGTGTAACATTGTGTGTATTCTCCTCCATCAGCTGTTTGTCTTCACTGATGGAGAGGTGGGAAACACCAAAGAAGTTATTGACCTTGTTAAGAAGAATTCATGCTCCCACAGGTGAAACCATAAACACATGGGTTGCCAGTCTGGATCAGGTTCTCATGTTATATTGAGTTTAAAATCAAATCTTAAATTGCAGATGTTTTTCCTTTGGGATCGGAGAAGGAGCCAGCTCTGCTCTCATCAACGGGATGGCCAAAGAGGGAGGAGGTCACGCTCAGTTCATCACTGGGACTGACAGGATGCAGCCAAAGGCAAGAAAAACATCTATATAACACTTAACCAACTTATTAGAATATGATTATTTTGAAATAAATCATTTCACAACTATTTTTTAAACCACAGGTGATGCAGTCACTCAGGTTTGCTCTGCAGCCTGCGGTGGAGGATATTTCTGTCTCTTGGGATTTACCAAAGGGAGTGTCTGCCACCATTCTCTCTCCTCCCATTACAACAATCTTTCAGGGTCAGAGGTCACTGATTTATGCTCAACTTACAGGACAGGTAGATTCACTGCTGACTCTCTTGCTTAAGTGTCACTTGTCTTTACTGCTTAGATATGAAGTATATCATAAAGCTTTGGTTTTTTAATTTTTTTTATGTTTTGTGAATTTAACTATTTTTTAGAGTTCAGAGACAACAGAGGGCAGTGTGACGGTGAAGTTTAGCTTGGCAGGTCATCCCTCAAATAACCAGCTCCACTTCAGCCTAAAACCTGCAGAGGATTCTGGGTAAAACTCCTTCAGATTATTGTTTAAAGCCCAGCGTACACTGTGCGATTTTCGGGGTGATTTTCCAGTCGTGCCAGTATTTGAGATCGGGCTGACTTTAAGCCTGATCGTGCGTTCTGAGTCGTGTAGTGTACGGGGGTTACGAGCGGCAATCAGCTTCTCACGACTGCCTCCTAATCAGGAATCGTGAGGTCAGGAGAATATCAAACATGTTTGAGTTTCTCCTGACTGTCATGGGCAAATCGTTCAGGGCGCATGTGCAAACAAGGATTCTTCTTTTTATTCCTCCTCTCAGATGTAAACACAGCAGTGTGGCAGGGATGCAGTGCGTGAAATGCAGCTCTGTTTGCAAAATTGATAGATCGCAGCAGCCACGCC